CACAAAGTGTTTTGACCAAACGTTCCCTCAGTCAGAGCTGAGGTCAGATGAGCAGCCTCAGAGCCCGACATGATCAGTCCACCAGGATCAACATGAAACTAAATATCGTTCCAGGGCAGGCTAACCGAGGCTAACCAATGAGCTAACCGAGGCTAACCAATGAGCTAACCGAGGCTAACCAATGAGCACCTGCATGTGTGTATGAGAAAGGCCCTGACACCATTTCAGCCCAGATCTAAACTCCTGGCAGGACAATAAGCTCCAGCTCAACTCTCACACTGAACAGAACAGAGAGAGAGGGTCTGCAATATAAGAGGGACAGAAAGAGACACTTTAAAGCTGTTCAGTTATGATGTAAAGACTGATATTGTTCTATAATCGTCTGAAACTGTGAAGTCATGATGTGAAACGGTTAACAAAGACAAAGGGAAACTCAAGCTGCTGCTACACTTTATTTTATTGATCTAAAATTAAGCACTTTTAAGATGCACACATTTTCAAAAGCTATTTTATTTATTTTCTCTATTTCATTTGTAAATGCAGCCCGAGAGGAACATTACACATATCCACAGTATCTACTGTATATCTGTAGTTCAATGTTCAGTGACAATAAATGTTGTTGTTTTTGAATTGTGCTTTCTTTCTTTGATCGGCAGTCAGCTGTTGATGACATGCAGACGTTGATAAAGCTACTTCAATATCACACTAATTCATAAAGCAACAGGACCTTTGCATGGGGACATTTTCTCTAACTGGACCTCGTTGCATTTGAGTTGAAGACCCCTGGTGCAGAGCCTGGGGAGGAGAACACTTGGCCAACCCAGCTTTGCTTTCATTTCAATCAGGAGAGACGGTTTTGATGTGATGATACATATTTAATGCGCAGATACACAAATGAATGTGACAGTAGTTTTGGCGATTAGGCCCCGTTGTGCAGGAAGTATCATTCGGGAGGGGAGAACCGATCCGATGAAAACCCCCCGGGGTCTAGACACTGGTGGTGGTGAATGGATAGTTGGGTCGGTCTGAAGAGGAGTGGTTTAGCTTGATTGGATTCGGAGGGACGGGAGGTGAAAAGGGGGGGAGGAGTGTTGCGTTGAGTCACCTGAAATGACAGGGTTTGACGGCACGCTATGATAGGCTCTTGGGAAGTGATTGGCTAAGCTGAAGAGTGACGCCCCTGGTCACTTATTGAGAGTAGAAACATTGAGATAGAAATACATGAATGAGTAAAGATTGTTCTTCCTGGTTGAACTTGCGCTAAGCTTCATTTGTTTGATTCTTCTAAGTTCTGGTGGGTCTCCTGTAACACGGCTACATCACTATCAAGGCCCTTTAGATGGGACAGGGTTTTGTATCTCTTGACAATGTTCTGAATCCCATTTACATTCCATGATGTTACCGTCATAGCATTAATCATATTACATTCTGTAAGAGATAAATAACACAGAGTCTATGAAGGAGAGGGGAGACCAGTGTGCCCGTTTGCACGCGTCTATGCGTGTGGGGGTGCGTGCGTGTCTAGTCTCCCAGAACAAAACTAAACCCCATCCTGCACTGCTTATTAAACTATATGAATACCTGGCACTGTAACGGAGGGGGGGGGGGGGGGACATACAACGTAAACGATAAACACAACAAACATCACTACGCCAAGTGGCATAGACGATACATAAATACAATCGTGAGATAAGGTAGGCCCCATCTCCTATCCGCGATAGTCGGGCGCAGGTTTGCTGCACTTGTATATACAGTACCGGCATGTCCTGAGATGAGTCCTCTTTTCTTATTCTGACGTTAATCAGCATTAACTTAAATGGACCAACAAGAATAGTGAAAAGAAGACCTCTACATACTTGAATTAAAGAGTTTGAAATGAAGGGGAGCAAGCAGGTTGGATTGTTAAAGCGCAGTCACTTACATACTGAAAGAAGAGCAGCCAGCTCAAACAACGTCTGGAAGCTTGACTTTCAGGTCCCTCAGTGTCGCCTCCGGAGATTCATATCTGAAATTCTCTCCCTCGATGGTGATGACGAATCTTGCAGGATGAAGCAGACCGGTGTTTCTCGAAGATGTCCTTGGAGGCCGCTCGTTGTTTTTGGATCTCGATTGCCAGATCCTGTCGGACGAAGAAACGTTGACCCTCGAGGAGTAGTGCCTGCTTGTTTCTGGATGCTCGTAAGATGCTCTGTCCGTCACCTCACCGGAGCAGCCGCACGAGGAAGGTTCGCGGAGGCTTATCTGGGTTCGGTTTAGGTCCGTGGGCTCTGGGAGTGGGTCGCTCTCTTTTAACGTATAATTGTGTTCAAGAAGCTGAGCAGGTCCCCTGCTTCAGCGCCTTCCTTCAGCCCACTGATTCTGATGTTATTCCTTCTCCCTCTGGTCGATAACCTGTTCGCGTAAAAGTTTCACATCTTTGGATAATTGTTTCACTGTCGCACCGTCGGTGCTGGCTTGATCTTCTAGCGTACGTTTTTCAGCGTTAGATATCCTGTTGAGTGCTGCTTTCACGTCATTGTTTGCATAGTCTTTTGGAGAGTATCACATTTATTCCCAAATCCCTTTTTGATATCTTGAATCTCTGCGCACAGCTGCTGGGCCCAGCGCGGTGTTTCCCCAGCTGGTTCCATTGGGCGAGCGTCCTCGTGGTGTTTATTCCTCGGCGACTTCGCTGTCTGCCTAGTTTGATGCTTTTTAGATATTCGCTTAGAACCAACTTCAAGCAGCAGAGATCAAAAAGTCAATATCAGGAAGAGACTTCTTTTAGCCGATTTATTTTTTAGTAAATTCGGTCTGATGAGAAGCAGCCACCATGCCATGTTCACCTGTCGTGTCACGTGATTCTCATTATTACAGTTATTAAGGGGCTGCAGGAACATTTTCCCCACGTTTCAAACACTTATTCCTGGGTAGAAAAGCCTTGTTCTAACTGGCACTGCTTCTAACAATACTTTAGCCCACATCAGAGCCCTGTTCCCTGGGTAGAGGGGGGGTGCTGTGCCCTGGGTGTGTGGGTCTCTGTGGGTCCCTGGGTGTGTGGGTCCCTGGGTGTGTGGGTCTCTGGGTGTGTGGGTGTGTGGGTCTCTGTGGGTGTGTGGGTCTCTGGGTGTGTGGGTCTCTGTGGGTGTCTGGGTGTGTGGGTCCCTGGGTGTGTGGGTCTCTCGGTGTGTGGGTCCCTGGGTGTGTGGGTCTCTGTGGGTGTCTGGGTGTGTGGGTCTCTGGGTGTGTGGGTCCCTGGGTGTGTGGGTCTCTGGGTGTGTGGGTCTCTGTGGGTCTCTGGGTGTGTGGGTCCCTGGGTGTGTGGGTCCCTGGGGTGTGTGGGTATCTGGGTCTCTGGGTGTCTGGGTGTCTGGGTGTGTGGGTCCCTGGGTGTGTGGGTCCCTGGGTGTGTGGGTCCCTGGGTGTGTGGGTCTCTGGGTGTGTGGGTCTCTGGGTCTCTGGGTGTGTGGGTCTCTGGGTGTGTGGGTGTCTGGGTCTCTGGGTGTGTGGGTGTCTGGGTCTCTGGGTGTGTGGGTGTCTGGGTCTCTGGGTCCCTGGGTGTGTGGGTCTCTGGGTGTGTGGTAGGGATGTCCCGATCACCTTTTTTTGCTCCCGATCCGATTCCGATCATTTGATTTTGACAATCTGCCGATACCGATTTTTCCCGATCCGATCTTTATGCAATGCATTATGAGAAAAAAAAGGTAACAGATAACGGCTGGTCATCCAACGCGATGAGTTCAGCTATCTTGGCTGTTATTCTTTTGGCCTTTTCACTGTTCTGGGGCAGTTTCTCATTCCTTTTTAAAAGTCTCTGAACGTGTCGGTTGTTTCTGTGCCGTTCCCCGAGTGGCCGCTGTGTCCTCGTCGTGTTGTTGGTGTTTGTTTCTCAGGTGGCGTGTTAGATTGGTCGTGTTGAACGTAGCTCTGTTCTTTCCACCACGCGGAACCTCCGCCTTGCAAACATTGCATCTGGCTGTTACACTGCCTTCGCTTTCAATTTTATAATACTTCCAAACTCCTGACATTTTCTCTGTCCCGACTCCCGAGTCACCAGCTGGACGTAGCCTCTCGTTAGCTGCTACTATCAGACACTGCGCCCACTCTGTTGCTTTGAGAGGAATAAACAACCAGGTCTGAAAACAAGCCCAACAGAAGCAACACATACATGATGTTGTGTCATTTTAAACCAAAACTAAGTCCTCAGGATGACTTTAAGACGTGAACATGGTCATTTTTGTTTTGTAACATTAAATAAAATAATAAAAATATTTTATAAAAAAATAATAGTAAAAAAAAAAATCCCGATCCCCGATTTTTTTCTCCCGATTCCGATCTTTTGAAAATCACGTGATCGGCTCCGATCCCCGATCACGTGATCGGATCGGGACATCTCTAGTGTGTGGGTCTCTGTCTCTGTGGGTCTCTGGGTGTGTGAATCCCTGGGTGTGTGGGGGTCCCTGGGTGTGTGAATCCCTGGGTGTGTGGGGGTCCCTGGGTGTGTGGGGGTCTGTGAGTCTCACACCCTGCTTCTCCGGGGTGCTGAAGAGTCATTTTCAGGCTCCTCTCCACAATTGTCCCCCTAAAAATGATTTGTAATCATTATTTTTGCATTTAAATGATTTATTTTATCAATAATATGGTTCCCTAACACAATGCACATAGTCTGGAGCTCACTGGGACCTGCATATGCTTTAATCAGGCGTTTTAACACTTTTTTCCATGAAAATGATTTTTAATCACTATCATGGGGCTATATAAATCAAATTCCGGGTAATTCGGAGCACAATTGTATCTTTTACTATTTAAATGTATTTGTATTATATATTGTTGGGCTAGAAAAGTGACATTTCTGGGTGATTTTGTCAGTTTGTGGAGCTTAGCCCACAAATCCTGGAGGTTCCAGGCCGAATTTGGGAGCTCATAGGCGGCCTGCCATGCGCCCCCACCTGTGGAAAGAAGAAAAAAGTGAAGAAAACGGTTAATTATATCTTAAAATAATAAAAAATGAAGTTTTAAAAAATGACTGAGTGCCAACGGAGGAGGGGCTCGAAAAAGCTCAACCCTTTGGCGCTGAGATGGGGGGTGCAATCGGCTGGCTTTTTTGATTCCCGTGTTGCTTCTAAAGCCTGTATGGATCAATTATCCTATCTTCTTCTCCAGCCCCCCGGTCCTCCAGCCCCCGGTCCTCCATACTGGCGCCTGGTTACGGGTCAGTTTGCGACTCATTTGCTGGGTGAGTACCATGAATTGATGCCTCGGATATGAGTGTCGGCCTGGTTCTTCGGGGCACTCTACAGCTCAATGCTGGTATGGATTGGAGTCGGAGCCCCCCTTCTCCCGGTAAATATCATTTACCCAGCGGTGTTGAACGCAGATGGAGCCTCCCATCTCCCAAAAAAGCGTACCTTTCAATAGATTTTTAATCGATTTCAATCTGCTTGTGTCTCCACAGGCTTGATTGATTGACTTCCAAGATGCTGTCCAAGATGATACCAGAATGCCCGCTGTGTCACCTGCAATACTACACTCTCTCAAGGCACTTAGTGGTCAGGCACCTAGTCCTGAATAAAGATGAACGCAACATTCTCCTACGCATGGCCCATGGAAGAATTAACATTCGCCTGGAGCCCTGTTCTGTTGTTGGTTGTTCATACCATGGCACCAGGCTGGACCGGCATCTCGAGTGTGACCACCCGGAGCTCAGCCGAGAAGAAGCAGACTTGTCACTGCAAGAAGTGAAACGCAAGGTGGGGCTTAAAATGCTGAGGGAGCTCCGGGAGATGGACCCCCCAGTACACATGATAACGACACTGGATGTGAAATATGGTGCTCATGATGAACACCCAGACTCCGGGGCCGGGATAGAAGCTGAAGCAGCAGGTCCCTCCACTCCCCCAGCTCCAGAGCCAGCTCCAGAGCCAAAGGCAAAGCGAAAGCGAAAGACATCCTCCACTCCCCCAGCTCCAGAGGCAGCTCCAGAGCCAGCTCCAGAACCAGAGCCAAAGGCAAAGCGAAAGCGAAAGACATCCTCCACTCCCCCAGCTCCAGAGTCAGCTCCAGAGGCAGCTCCAGAGCCAGCTCCAGAACCAGTGCCAGAGCCAAAGCGAAAGACATCCTCCGCTCCCCCAGAGCCAGCTCCAGAGCCAGCTCCAGAGCCAAAGCGAAAGCGAAAGCGAAAGCGAAAGCAAAAGCAAAAGACATCCTCCCCTCCCCCAGCTCCAGAGCCAAAGCGAAAGCCAAAGCGAAAGCCAAAGCGAAAGCCAAAGACGTCCTCCGCTCCAACACAGCCTAAGGCAGGGCGAGCTCCAGTCCATTGTCCCGAGTTCAGCGATAACGAATACACTCTGGTTTACCATTATACCACCAGTGAGGATGAATCCGATGTAAAGTTCCAGGCTGGGTTGCTGGAGCGGGCGAATAAACGGGAGAAAGAACGGAATGAGGAGACTCTCCTCGATTCTGCTGACGATGACAGTGACAATGCCTTAGAGTCGACTTGCTTGTCGAAGACTCTCGAGAAGCGAAGTCCCTAAATACTCGCTGTACATCTGTATATCTGTACATCTGTTCACTGTGTGCTTTGACATACAGTGTTTCCGCTATATACAAATAGTGGCGGCGCTGCTGAAATATGCGCCACTCTGCTAGGGGGCGCCAGCCACTAGGGGTTTCACAACTACCAATATTTACTAGTCGACACGTTTTTCAAAATAGTAGTCGACTAGTCGTTACGTCATAATAAAGACACACAAAGAGAGGTGTACAACTGTATTTTATATTGGAACTCATAGTTACATTAAACACTGCATTTTAATTTGTGTTACATGGCTGAGTAAATAACAAACAGTAACTGGACTTAGTGAATAACTAACAGTAACTGGACTTAGTGAATAACAAACAGTAACTGGACTTAGTGAATAACAAACAGTAACTGGACTTAGTAAATAACAAACAGTAACTGGACTTAGTAAATAACAAACAGTAACTGGACTTAGTAAATAACAAACAGTAACTGGACTTAGTGAATAACTAACAGTAACTGGACTTAGTGAATAACAAACAGTAACTGGACTTAGTGAATAACTAACAGTAACTGGACTTAGTGAATAACTAACAGTAACTGGACTTAGTGAATAACAAACAGTAACTGGACTTAGTGAATAACAAACAGTAACTGGACTTAGTAAATAACAAACAGTAACTGGACTTAGTGAATAACTAACAGTAACTGGACTTAGTGAATAACTAACAGTAACTGGACTTAGTGAATAACTAACAGTAACTGGACTTAGTAAATAACAAACAGTAACTGGACTTAGTGAATAACTAACAGTAACTGGACTTAGTAAATAACAAACAGTAACTGGACTTAGTGAATAACTAACAGTAACTGGACTTAGTGAATAACTAACAGTAACTGGACTTAGTGAATAACAAACAGTAACTGGACTTAGTGAATAACAAACAGTAACTGGACTTAGTGAATAACTAACAGTAACTGGACTTAGTGAATAACTAACAGTAACTGGACTTAGTAAATAACTAACAGTAACTGGACTTAGTGAATAACAAACAGTAACTGGACTTAGTGAATAACTAACAGTAACTGGACTTAGTGAATAACAAACAGTAACTGGACTTAGTGAATAACAAACAGTAACTGGACTTAGTGAATAACTAACAGTAACTGGACTTAGTAAATAACAAACAGTAACTGGACTTAGTGAATAACAAACAGTAACTGGACTTAGTGAATAACAAACAGTAACTGGACTTAGTGAATAACTAACAGTAACTGGACTTAGTGAATAACTAACAGTAACTGGACTTAGTGAATAACTAACAGTAACTGGACTTAGTGAATAACTAACAGTAACTGGACTTAGTGAATAACAAACAGTAACTGGACTTAGTAAATAACAAACAGTAACTGGACTTAGTGAATAACTAACAGTAACTGGACTTAGTGAATAACTAACAGTAACTGGACTTAGTGAATAACTAACAGTAACTGGACTTAGTGAATAACTAACAGTAACTGGACTTAGTGAATAACAAACAGTAACTGGACTTAGTGAATAACAAACAGTAACTGGACTTAGTGAATAACTAACAGTAACTGGACTTAGTAAATAACAAACAGTAACTGGACTTAGTGAATAACAAACAGTAACTGGACTTAGTGAATAACAAACAGTAACTGGACTTAGTGAATAACAAACAGTAACTGGACTTAGTGAATAACTAACAGTAACTGGACTTAGTGAATAACTAACAGTAACTGGACTTAGTAAATAACAAACAGTAACTGGACTTAGTGAATAACTAACAGTAACTGGACTTAGTGAATAACAAACAGTAACTGGACTTAGTGAATAACTAACAGTAACTGGACTTAGTGAATAACTAACAGTAACTGGACTTAGTAAATAACTAACAGTAACTGGACTAAGTGAATAACTAACAGTAACTGGACTTAGTGAATAACTAACAGTAACTGGACTTAGTGAATAACAAACAGTAACTGGACTTAGTGAATAACAAACAGTAACTGGACTTAGTGAATAACTAACAGTAACTGGACTTAGTGAATAACTAACAGTAACTGGACTTAGTAAATAACAAACAGTAACTGGACTTAGTGAATAACTAACAGTAACTGGACTTAGTGAATAACAAACAGTAACTGGACTTAGTGAATAACAAACAGTAACTGGACTAAGTGAATAACTAACAGTAACTGGACTTAGTGAATAACTAACAGTAACTGGACTTAGTGAATAACTAACAGTAACTGGACTTAGTGAATAACTAACAGTAACTGGACTTAGTGAATAACTAACAGTAACTGGACTTAGTGAATAACTAACAGTAACTGGACTAAGTGAATAACTAACAGTAACTGGACTTAGTGAATAACAAACAGTAACTGGACTTAGTAAATAACAAACAGTAACTGGACTTAGTGAATAACTAACAGTAACTGGACTAAGTGAATAACTAACAGTAACTGGACTTAGTGAATAACAAACAGTAACTGGACTTAGTAAATAACAAACAGTAACTGGACTTAGTGAATAACTAACAGTAACTGGACTTAGTGAATAACAAACAGTAACTGGACTTAGTGAATAACAAACAGTAACTGGACTTAGTGAATAACAAACAGTAACTGGACTTAGTGAATAACTAACAGTAACTGGACTTAGTGAATAACTAACAGTAACTGGACTTAGTGAATAACTAACAGTAACTGGACTTAGTGAATAACTAACAGTAACTGGACTTAGTGAATAACTAACAGTAACAGGACTTAGTGAATAACTAACAGTAACTGGACTTAGTGAATAACTAACAGTAACTGGACTTAGTGAATAACTAACAGTAACTGGACTTAGTGAATAACAAACAGTAACTGGACTTAGTGAATAACAAACAGTAACTGGACTTAGTGAATAACAAACAGTAACTGGACTTAGTAAATAACAAACAGTAACTGGACTTAGTAAATAACTAACAGTAACTGGACTTAGTGAATAACTAACAGTAACTGGACTTAGTGAATAACTAACAGTAACTGGACTTAGTGAATAACTAACAGTAACTGGACTTAGTGAATAACTAACAGTAACTGGACTTAGTGAATAACAAACAGTAACTGGACTTAGTAAATAACAAACAGTAACTGGACTTAGTGAATAACTAACAGTAACTGGACTTAGTGAATAACAAACAGTAACTGGACTTAGTGAATAACTAACAGTAACTGGACTTAGTGAATAACAAACAGTAACTGGACTAAGTGAATAACTAACAGTAACTGGACTTAGTGAATAACTAACAGTAACTGGACTTAGTGAATAACTAACAGTAACTGGACTTAGTGAATAACTAACAGTAACTGGACTTAGTGAATAACTAACAGTAACTGGACTTAGTGAATAACTAACAGTAACTGGACTAAGTGAATAACTAACAGTAACTGGACTTAGTGAATAACAAACAGTAACTGGACTTAGTAAATAACAAACAGTAACTGGACTTAGTGAATAACTAACAGTAACTGGACTAAGTGAATAACTAACAGTAACTGGACTTAGTGAATAACAAACAGTAACTGGACTTAGTAAATAACAAACAGTAACTGGACTTAGTGAATAACTAACAGTAACTGGACTTAGTGAATAACAAACAGTAACTGGACTTAGTGAATAACAAACAGTAACTGGACTTAGTGAATAACAAACAGTAACTGGACTTAGTGAATAACTAACAGTAACTGGACTTAGTGAATAACTAACAGTAACTGGACTTAGTGAATAACTAACAGTAACTGGACTTAGTGAATAACTAACAGTAACTGGACTTAGTGAATAACTAACAGTAACAGGACTTAGTGAATAACTAACAGTAACTGGACTTAGTGAATAACTAACAGTAACTGGACTTAGTGAATAACTAACAGTAACTGGACTTAGTGAATAACAAACAGTAACTGGACTTAGTGAATAACAAACAGTAACTGGACTTAGTGAATAACAAACAGTAACTGGACTTAGTAAATAACAAACAGTAACTGGACTTAGTAAATAACTAACAGTAACTGGACTTAGTGAATAACTAACAGTAACTGGACTTAGTGAATAACTAACAGTAACTGGACTTAGTGAATAACTAACAGTAACTGGACTTAGTGAATAACTAACAGTAACTGGACTTAGTGAATAACAAACAGTAACTGGACTTAGTAAATAACAAACAGTAACTGGACTTAGTGAATAACAAACAGTAACTGGACTTAGTGAATAACAAACAGTAACTGGATTTAGTAAATAACTAACAGTAACTGGACTTAGTGAATAACTAACAGTAACTGGACTTAGTGAATAACTAACAGTAACTGGACTTAGTGAATAACTAACAGTAACTGGACTTAGTGAATAACTAACAGTAACTGGACTAAGTGAATAACTAACAGTAACTGGACTTAGTGAATAACAAACAGTAACTGGACTTAGTGAATAACAAACAGTAACTGGACTTAGTGAATAACTAACAGTAACTGGACTTAGTGAATAACTAACAGTAACTGGACTTAGTGAATAACAAACAGTAACTGGACTTAGTGAATAACTAACAGTAACTGGACTTAGTGAATAACTAACAGTAACTGGACTTAGTGAATAACTAACAGTAACTGGACTTAGTGAATAACTAACAGTAACTGGACTTAGTGAATAACTAACAGTAACTGGACTAAGTGAATAACTAACAGTAACTGGACTTAGTGAATAACAAACAGTAACTGGACTTAGTGAATAACAAACAGTAACTGGACTTAGTGAATAACTAACAGTAACTGGACTTAGTGAATAACAAACAGTAACTGGACTTAGTGAATAACTAACAGTAACTGGACTTAGTGAATAACAAACAGTAACTGGACTTAGTGAATAACTAACAGTAACTGGACTTAGTGAATAACAAACAGTAACTGGACTTAGTAAATAACAAACAGTAACTGGACTTAGTGAATAACAAACAGTAACTGGACTTAGTGAATAACTAACAGTAACTGGACTTAGTGAATAACTAACAGTAACTGGACTTAGTGAATAACTAACAGTAACTGGACTTAGTGAATAACTAACAGTAACTGGACTTAGTGAATAACTAACAGTAACTGGACTTAGTGAATAACTAACAGTAACTGGACTTAGTGAATAACAAACAGTAACTGGACTTAGTGAATAACTAACAGTAACTGGACTTAGTAAATAACAAACAGTAACTGGACTTAGTAAATAACAACAGTACTGGACTTAGTGAATAACAAACAGTTAACTGGACTTAGTGAATAACTA